TGTGGAGATGAGTTAGTAAGGAAGTTACGCGCGAAGCAAGGGGTCCTGGGTTCGAATCTCACACACCGCAAGAGAGGGTGTCTCAGGATTTGAACTATTTTTTTTAATTTCGACGATGGACTTTAGTCTCGGTTACGGACCTTTAGTCCCGTATCCGTAGTCCCGGTTGGCAAACCAGGACTAAAGGCAGTTTCCAACCAAGATTGAAGCACACCTATATATTAGTGGCTGTGTTGTTTGTTTCTGTGTGCCTATAGTTCTAGCCTAACATGCATCCTCTGAAGTCGGAACATAGTGTGCTTGCTAAATGCCGGGCCCAAATCAGAACCTCTTTCTGTAAAACAAGCGGTTAATTCTGTGAGGCATACTATTTTCATCCAACTTTTAATGATCAGAAAACATCATTGTACTTAGCTCACATAAATTCTATATGTACAGAGAATATCAAAATGACTCACATTTTAGGTTACCTGCTACACCTACACTTGTACTTTTTTCTGCTGTTCCCTAGATATGTTGGAGATTAAAAAAATGTGGCATGATTGCAGTGCCTGGGCTGCACCAAACAAACTGAGGTACAAATACTGTCTGAAGTGCATGAAGTGCCCGTTTGTGCCTTTCTAAACGGATTTGTGCGATTAACCTGAAATTGTATCTAACAGCCTGCTTTTAAATAATGATAATTTTTTGTTTCTATGATATCTAATTAATATTCCAAATCGCATTTATGGTTTCATATTAAGATTTCCACTTTTGATGTTTTGGTATGTCTGAATCAGGTATCCACATTTATCAGAGGATGATCTTGTGAACAATTGCCTGCTTGTTGAAAAAAAAAACCTCTGCCGGGAGACATTACCAGAAAGTTCTTCCCCTAAGCAATTGCACAATTCCAATCCCCTAAGCAATGTCATCTGATGAGATATTTTAGTTTCGGATAATAAATGTATGCCCTTTTCTTGCTTCATTTCCATGTTCATATATATGGAAAATACAAAGAAAAGGTCGTAACAGACTAATAGGTGTCAGTCATATATATATATATATATATATATATATATATATATATAGATAGAGAGAGAGAGAGAGAGGCTATTCTGTAGGTAGCTATGGAATAGCTTATTTTGTAGCCGGACAAGTTACCGCACCAGAGAGACCCATCGGTGCCAACCGGCGCAAGCGCGGTAAGCACACAAGTGAATTAGCGTATGCATGCACCGTGCAATAAACTATTGTATATGGACTATGGTAAATAGATAAGATATTTAGGTAGTTACCAGAATACCGTATGCAAAATATTCTTGTTACGAGAATACAACATACCTTAAAATAGTAAGGCTACGAGAATACTATTGTCCACGAAAAATAGTAAAGAATATATTCTAAGTAAATAGGAATGGGTTACCAGAATACTCTACATGCATGCTATGGGCTAACTGAAGAGTAGTATACAAGTTGAACTAATGTAATTGTTCATGTGTTACGAGAATTTGAGCACAGTGACTAAGCCTGTCATAAGCTGATTAAAATAATTTGAATGTCTCGGACAAAATTAGCATTAAGAAAAGATTTACCATAATGTAATGGACAAGTTACTATAATACTGCATATTTGCGAAAATTCTGTTTACAACAATACTAATACTATTTACAAGAATTTGCACTAATAATATTTACAAGAATTGCTACTCGAGAGCGATTGGATGCGTGCTCCAATTTCACGAGAAAGAAACAGGACGTCGTCTCACGGGATCTTGCCACCATAGAAGATAGAACCTCTAGCCGCCGCCGCCTACATCAGTCATCAGAGCGCTACTGCTTGAGCCCGACATCAGGGAGTCACCGGTGAAGGTGCGGACGGGCTTGTCAACGAAGCAGCGCCGCCGGAACAAAAGGACATGCCTGACTGTTGGGTACACCCCGCCGAGACCTGCCGCCGATGAGGACCCACTGCCGCCACTAGGCTGTACACCATCGGTTGCTGCTGGATGTGCAGAACTGCAGGCGACATCCCGAGGTGTGCCTGGCGCACGCCATCGCACTCGCCTCCCGGCCGCACCACCGGGGGCCGCCATCTCCACTGGACGTGCCGCGCCATCACCGAGTGTGTCGTGCGCGCGAATCGAGGTGCACCGCAACCGCCACCACCAGGGCGTGCCATGCGCGCGAGTTGAGGGTGCGCTGCAACCGCCACCACCAGGGAGTGCCATGCGCGGCGAGTCGAGGGTGCGGTGCCACCGCCGGGGCGCGTCGTGCACGCGGATCGAGGATGCGCCGCCACCACCGGAGCGCGTCGTGCGGCGACTGCCGAAGCGCGTCGTTCGCACGGATCGAGGGTGCGCCGCCGGCTAAGTGTCGCCGGCAGGGGAGAGCAGTTCGTGCTCGACGGCAACCACCGCACCTCCCCTGCTCCTCGTGCTTGAGGCGGAGCCTGGTGTACCGGTTGGTCGGCTGCCGCTACGCCAGCGCCCGCCGCAGGAACGCGTCGCTGCCGCCCACCTCCTGCCCTCATCGCTCCCACAGCGCACTGCCCCAGCGTCCCGTCGCACGGCGCCCGCAGCGCCCCGAGGTCCGTCGGCCCGGCGCCGGCGGAGACCAGCGTCGCTGACGACGCAGCGCAGTAGAGGAGGCAGGCCGCGAGGGCCACGATCTGCGATGGTGAGGACGTATCTGAACAGGACCCAATCTATAATTTTCTCTGGAGAGATGGAAATAAGCGTAATTTTTGGGTTAATTAATGGACTAGTATTTATTGTCTTTACTGATGCCGTCTTTACTAGTGCGGTGGGTGAATGGACGGAGCTGGGTGGCGCTCGGGCTCGAGTTCTGACTCGGATACAGAATACTTTATTTTGTAGCCGGCTACGAGTATCTCTTTTATATATATATATATATATATTTTTAATAGAATTGCGATATCATCTAAAAGCAAATTACATTTATCTATTATCCATGCTATGCATTGACAAATTTTGCTTGCGGTTGTAGTCTCTACTCTTATACTAAACTACATTTGTCTTCATTCATAATTATCTGTAGTCTATATATTCTCATTTACCATCTATATTCATGTGTAATATGCTCAGCCTCAGTGTCTCTTTACATCTGCCTTTACAGCTTAGTCCTTTGATCATGTTTGTGGTTGCACGCTCTTCCATATCATTTTTATTCTCCTACCGGTTCTTAACTTGGATAGTTGGATCTACAACATATTTACAAGGATAACCAAAAAAAAGATCAAAAGATTAACCTGTCATGTGCTGATGAGTACTTAGCCACAAAAGTTATCAAGGGATATCGCAGAAATCATGCGCATAGCGTGCATACTAGCTGTATCTTAGGACCTTAATTTTTTTTAGCATCCTATTATATTTTCTACCACAATCAAACACCAGTAAGTAGGCACTGTACAATTCTCAAATGCTGCACTTCTTGCCAGAGACAATATGCAAAAATCTTGGTTTATGCCAGTCACAGATCAATAAAATGCTGGTCATGGTATTATGACAGTGAATTTGACCTTATATAAAGTAACATCACTAAAATACAAAATCAAGGTACACCACCAGACCAATAAAGCACAACTCATTCACTGGCACCACGAGACCACGATATTGCCCTCAGCTACTCCCCTCCCTACCGTCGCTGACGCGTAAACCTCACTTGTCATCCCCTTCCTCTCATTCTCTTACCAATGGCCGTCGCAAGGGGCTGCACATTCAGGCCAGCTGCTCGCCTGCCTCCTCACCGGTGCCGGCGGCGTGCCCGTACATGTGTTGGGCCTAGCGTCGGCGTGCTCCAAGGCGTGCTCATGTAGGCCATGCTCACCTTCGCGCGGCCATGGCGGAGCGGAGCTCCAGGCGCACGCGCTCGCCATGCCCAGCCGAGGCGAGGCCGACCACCATCTCTGTGACAAATAGCGCCCTACCCCTGCGCAAGACGAGACCGGCGGCGGCTCGGCGGCGTGTTTCGCGCTTTGCCCAAAGAAGAAGCGTGGTGGTCGCTCACGCTTGGCGCTGGCCGGCTATGGCGCTGACCGCCTTTCGTTCGGTGGTGGTGGTGGAAGACGCAGCGTGAGCCTAAGAGTGGGCGAAGGATGGCAGCGGCGTCGCAGGCGAGCTTCTTCTTCTTGGTCTTCTCTGCTCTCTCTCTCTCTCTCTCGCTCGCTCCGAGCTCGCGCGAAGCACCGTCGAGCAGCAGCAGAGCTCCCGCCAGCTGCTGCCATTCCGATCCGTGAGCGCCGCCACAATCCCGGCCCAAGCTCGCCCCCTTGATCCACCTCGACCTCCCTTAGGTGCCAGCGTGCGTGCACCTGGAGCTCCGCCCCGCCATGGCTGCGCAGGAGCTTCGGCGAGGCCCCTTCCCGACTGCAATTTTCACGGAGCTCACCTTCTCATCGGTGCCGCCCCGCCTTGACCTCACATCCATGCTCCTAGTCCTAGCGGCGGGCGTCGTCGCAGTGGCACTGTCTGTGTCCATGTCCGTGCAGAACTCGTGCTCGGTGTTCGGGCGCGCTAATGACCACACGCAGCTGTGGCAGTCGAGCGTGCAGGTGCCTCAGCTGCTGGGGAGCCTGCTGTTCCTGGTCGTCGGCAAGCGTGGAGGTGAGCCCGAGGAGGCAGGGCGGCGCGGACGGGAAGGAGAACCACCATTGGTACGAGCAGAGGAAGGAGACGACGAGTGGGGCCTACACGTCAGTGACTAGGATGATGGAAGTAGTTGAGAGCAATATTGTCTATATGAAAATACTTGAATTCCCCGTATGCTGCAGTTGGACCCAAGGGTCCCAAAGACGTATAGCTTGACATGTGTCAAAGAGAGGAAGAATTATAATAGCACCCTGGATAAATAGTAATGGTACTTCTTCTGACTTCAAAAATTACAATGGCACCGATCAAGATAACTTTTTTTTTTTCAAACCAAAACTCGAAAGGAGGAAACGTTCCTGTTCCGTCCATTCCCCCTCCCGACCTCCCCCAAAGGTCGACCGCTTAACCCGCCATGGCCGCCGCCGCCGCCCCCGCCCCCACCCCAGCCGGCGGTGATCCCCGCCCTGGACATCTCTCCCGGTCGCAGGAAGATCGGCGTAAGGAGGAGGAAGGATCGGATGAATCGGAGGAAGAGGAGGTGGAGAGCGACTATGGTGAGGAGTCGGATGTCGACAGCCTCGCGGGCCTCTGCGACCTCGACGCGGGCTCCGACGAGGACCCCACCTTCGACCCGGACGCCGACGGGGACCTGGAGGTGGAGGCTGTGCTGCGGGCCAGGATGAGCAGGATGTCCATCTCGGCCTCGGCACGCAAGGGCAGGTTAGGCAGCGGGGTTTGTCTCCACTTCTTCCCTTCTCTGATTGGGTATCTCGATACATTTTGTGCGATCGTGTGGTAGATCGGAGATGGGAATTCGGTCTGCGATTCTTGCCATTTATTCCTTAATCGCGTTTGTTCGGGCCCGGTTCAGCAGTGCCGAACTGTTCACGATTCCTTATCCCGTATCTCTATGAAAAATTTCACGATTTCAGGAAAGGGACAGTGGTGCCGAAGATGGGAAAGGAGGAGACTGACCTTCTGGTCATGGTGGACAAGCTCATGCAGGGTGAGTTCTTATTTCTTTCTAATAATGTGATGCACATTAGTCCAGAAATGGGACGGAAAGGTGATAATGCCTTGCCAGTTGCCACTGCCAGTGAAAATTTGGAGGAAATGACATGAGAACCTACTACCAACTTGGCTAAAGAAAATTGTGTTTCATAACCAGCGGCGGAGCTTCTCACAGGCCAATAGGGGCTATTGCGACCCCTGAACTTGTGTAAACTCCATTAGTTTTGGCCATTTGGCTTGATAAATAAAAAATTAAAAAATAGCCTTGTTCTTTTATTATTGGTCCCTTCTAGATTTAGGCTCAAGGTCCACCACTGTTCGTAACAGCATGTATGGAAACTTGAAACATGATTTGTTTTGCATTACTTCATTCATTTGATACCTTGATGCAGCAAATGAACTTTATTGTGTTCATATGAAGTTTAGAAACTAGTGTGCGAAGTTTGATTGACATACACACAAAAAAACATTTGAATTTTGCTTTAATCATTGTAGTTTTAACTTTTGAGTACAGGCAAAGAACGAGGTCATGAGACCATGCTGGATGCCTGGACCTGTTTAAGATATGCTACAGTTCCATGGATCAATAGTGCAAGTTTTTTTCTTTTTATTTAGTGCATAATTTAGTTTCTCATGTGAACATTCTTGCAATGTACAGATGGTCAGCTGGAAAAATTGAAGGTTTATGAATGTAAAGCATATTTGTGGATGCACAAATTAAGGTTGACAGGCAAGAAGGAAGTGCTCCTAAATCGAATAAGAGAGCATATAGAGTATGAACTGTGCAATCCAATTGTGATCTCCTATTTTAAAATCTTAATCTTGAATTTTTGTTGTTGATATAATGCAAGCAGGCTATTGGCTTTGTCAGAGCATGTTCCATGCCCATTGATGTACTTACACTTTCTTCACAAACATTCAGGGTGAAAAATGATGGAGAGGTCAAGCATCCAGTGCCAAGCTTTGTTCTGAACTGTAAAGGTGAAACAAGCTATTTCTGCACAGAAATACACATTTTAATATGGATGAGAAGAATGTGAACAGATTTGTCAACTTTACAATACCAAAGAGACTTATCACTAGGCGTGCTAGTCTCAGCATAGATTTTTTGTTGGTGCTTGGCCTAGCCTGCTGAACCCTTTGTTCAGAGGCACTGGCAGATAAGTGATTAAGTTGCTTGCTTTGGTTAAACTTTGCTTGAATAGAACTCTCTGTATTTTCGTTTCTTTTTGGTAATGAAATTCAAGTTGCCTGTTGTGGGAAAAAAGCTTTATAATACCAAAGGGATGATCTTATAGTTCAAGTGCTTATGGATAGTGAGCTTTAGAGCTCTGTAGGGATCCAGGTGTCTACATGGCCTTAATTTAGGATTTTCTGTTATATAAAAAAAATATAATACTGGCGTTGCAAGGACAATTTTTGCCTTCCTGCGCCATTTCTTTGAATTTTCTCTCTTATGTATCATATATAATTGATGTAGGTGATGCATGCAAAGGTGATGTTGTGATGTTTGAGCAGAACATTTACAGAAGGTAATTCAAATTAAGCATTTGTTCTGATGTTTTTCATTACAATCATGAATCTTGAAGCATTATGTTTATTTTCATTTTTTGTATCTGTTGAGTATTGTTGTAGGGAAAAGGGAGCTCCTCGTGAAGTTAAGGGTCGCTTATGTGGACAAAGGACCAATGCCGGTAGAATAATAAAGGAAAGCTATGGCGCAGCAAAGCAACAACATACGTTCAATGTAAGGCTTTGGTTCTTTTATGAGCATGCATTTTAATTTCCTTCAATTACAATATTGCGAAAACAATGTTCTTTGAAGTCATATGCATAAAAAATGTAGATTGAGATTTTGTGGAGTAAAGGATACAAACCATGGCCTCCCCTTCATCCACTCCTCATGTCATGGTCGGGCGCACATATGTGAGATTTGCGTCGCGCACGTCCTCATGGAAAGGGGGAGGAGGAGGCGCAAGGCTCTCCGTTAGTGGCTAGGAAAGAAAGTAGGAGAGCTTTCTGTTATTAGTTCCTTAAATTATGGAGTTTGTTACTTCCTTTAGTTTGGGCCCTTGGCCATATAAGTTGTAATCGCACTTTGGAGAAATCAATCAAGAATCAGTTGCCTATCTTCTCTCTCCCTCTCAGCCTCTCAAGCCGCCGGTCAGGGGGTATAACCCAACCAGCGAGGACACGGCGTGGGGGTATAACCCTGCCGGCTACCACGGACCGGAACTACGAGTTGCGTAGTCGAGGTCCGGCGACCTTGAGCGCGGAGGCCCTTGACAACTTGGTATCAGCATCCAGGTCTCGTCGTTCCTCTCCCACGCGATCCGATCAACCCACCACACCAGCCGCCGCCCAAAACCCTAACCCACCTCATCCTCCACCCACCACATCCACCATGGCCGAGCCCACCATGGCCGAGCTCATGGACATGATCAAGGCGATGAACTCCGAGATGAAGTCCGAGATGAAGACACTGAAGGATGAGATGGCGGCCCTGAAGGACAAGCCGTCGCCCTCGGGTGGCGGAGGGGACGACCACCGCACCTACGCGCCGCGTGACGAGGAGTTCCACCCACGTCCCAAGAAGTGGGATTTTCCCCGCTACGATGGAACCACCGATCCGCTTCTCTTCCTCAACAAGTGTGACGCCTACTTCCGCCAACATCGCACGATGGCTGAGGAGCGCGTCTTGATCGCGTCCTATCACCTGGACGAAGCTGCGCAACAATGGTTCATGCGGCTCAAGATGAGGAAGCCACACCGTCGTGGGGGCACTTCAAAGATCGTTGAACCTCCGTTTGGGCCACCCTCCGATCCGCACCGATGTTTGAGCTTTTAGACGGCACCGTGGAGGAGTACTCCACGCGCCAAGCCCCCTCCTCTCCGTCGGGCGTCTGGAAGAAATTGGTTCAACTCTACAGGGATTGGGGGATTGCTGCCGCCGTTGAGCCACGCCCGTTAAATCGCATCACCCGAGACCCTCATTTTGCGATGAGCCTCGCCCCACAGTCGAGTTGATGGAGTTAGATCGGCTCCACGGTAGCGCCGACCGAAAAGCGCTAAGACCAACGCAGCGCCAAAACAGCGCGCCCCAGCTCGCGCTTCGCCAGCAAAGAAGAAATCATAATGACCACTGCGGTCTTTGCGCTCCTCAAACAACGGAACAGCGCTGAACAAGGACAATAGCCGGCTCGGCCCCTCGCTATAACCGTAATGAGCCTTACTCCAGGGGCCACAACCGCGTCTGTCGTCGCATCTTCTACATCGACGGCGTGGACCTGGCCGAGGAAGGCAGGGAGGAGGAGGCCCCGGTGTTTTCCTTGCACGCGGTGGCAGGCGTTCCCGGCAACAACACGATCCAGCTTCGGGTCCAGGTGGGCGCGGCTGACTTCATCGCGCTCATCGACACCGGCTCCACGCACAGTTTCATCGGGGAGGACGCCGCCCGCCGCGCCGGGCTTCCCATCGAGCCGCGCCCACGGCTGACGGCGACCGTGGCGAACGGAGGGCGCGTTTCCTGTCCGGGCGTGCTTCGCCAAGCGCCGGTGATCATCGAAGGCCTGGCTTTCCAGGTTGATCTGTTCCTCATGCCCCTTGCAGGATATGATGTGGTGTTGGGCACCAATTGGATGGCGCCACTGGGGGACATCGTGTGGAACATCAACGCCAGCACCATGGCGTTCCAACACGACGGCCAATCCGTCTGCTGGCACAGCGTCGGCCCCAAAGCCCCTGCTCGTCTCCACGCTGCTGAGGTCACCGAACCCCTCCTCGACGCGCTCCTGGACGGCTTCCACGACGTCTTCGCCACGCCAAGTGGCCTACCCCCGGAGCGGGGCCGTACACACCGCATCGTCCTCAAGCCCGACGCGACACCGGTGGCCGTCCGCCCGTACCGCTACCCGGCCGCCCACAAGGATGAGTTGGAGAAGCAATGCGCTGACATGATCAGCCAAGGCATCGTCAGGCGCAGCGACTCCGCGTTCTCATCGCCGGTCCTCCTCGTCAAGAAGCCGGATGGCTCGTGGCGTTTCTGCGTCGACTACCGCGAGCTGAACGCCATCACAGTGAAGGACGCGTACCCGATCCCTGTCGTCGACGAACTGCTGGACGAGCTCCAGGGTGCCCGGTTCTTCACCAAGCTTGACTTACGATCCGGGTACCATCAGGTGCGCATGCGGCCGGAGGACGTCCACAAGACGGCGTTCCGCACCCACGACGGCCTCTACGAGTTTCTGGTGATGCCGTTTGGGCTGTGCAACGCCCCGGCAACATTTCAGGCTCTCATGAACGACGTACTCCGCCCCTTCCTCCGTCGCTTTGTGCTCGTTTTCTTTGACGACATTCTAATCTACAGCACGTCATGGGCGGACCATCTTCGACACCTCCGCGCGGTCCTCACCGAGCTCCGCCGCCACGCCCTCTTCGTCAAGCGCTCGAAGTGTGCGTTCGGGGTTCCCTCGGTCGCCTACCTCGGCCACACTATCTCAGCGGCGGGCGTGGCCATGGACTCGGCCAAGGTCCAAGCCATCCACGAATGGCCGGTGCCTCGCTCGGCGCGGGCGATACGCGGCTTCCTCGGCTTGGCGGGCTACTACCGCAAGTTCATCCACCACTACGGCACCATGGCGGCACCCCTCACAAGCTTGCTCAAGAAGGAGGGCTTCTCGTGGAGCCCCGAGGCCGCGAAGGCGTTCGAAGACCTCAAGATGGCCATGACCACAGCCCCGGTCCTGGCCCTGCCCGACTTCACCAAGCCGTTTGTGGTCGAGTGTGACGCGTCGTCCCACGGCTTCGGGGCGGTCCTCATCCAGGACGGGCACCCACTCGCCTTCTTCAGCAGGCCAGTGGCACCACGACACCGAGCGCTGGCGGCGTATGAGCGTGAGCTCATCGGCTTGGTCCAAGCGGTGCGGCACTGGCGCCCGTACCTCTGGGGTCGCCGTTTCAGCGTCAAGACGGACCATTACTCCCTCAAGTACCTGCTGGATCAGCGCCTTGCCACCATCCCGCAACACCATTGGGTCGGCAAGCTCCTTGGGTTCGACTTCTCTGTCGAATATAAGCCGGGCGCGGCGAACACGGTGGCGGACGCGCTGTCCCGCCGCGACACGGAGGACGGGGCGCTGCTCGCCCTATCAGCCCCCCGCTTCGACTTCCTCGACCGCCTGCGGCACGCGCAGCGCGACGACCCCGCCCTCGTCGCTCTCCGCGATGGGATCACGTCCGGGAACCGCCAGGCGCCTTGGACGCTCGTGGACGGCATGGTCCACTTCGACGGCAGGCTCTACATTCCGCCCAACTCCCCGCTGCTCCAAGAGATCATGGGGGCGATACATGAGGATGGACATGAGGGCGTTCAACGCACCCTGCATCGTCTACGGCGTGACTTCCACTTCCCTAATATGAAGCAGCTCGTCCAAGACATGGTCCGCGAATGCACGGTGTGTCAGCAGTATAAGTCCGAGCACCTCCAGCCGGCCGGCCTACTTCTTCCTCTACCGGTGCCACAGGGTGTCTGGACTGACATCGCCCTTGATTTTGTGGAGGCTCTTCCTCGCGTCCGTGGCAAGTCAGTGATCCTCACCGTGGTGGACAGATTCAGCAAGTATTGTCATTTCATCCCGTTGGCGCACCCATACTCTGCTGAATCAGTCGCCCAGGCCTTCTTCACCGACATCGTTCGCCTGCATGGCGTTCCCCAGTCCATTGTCTCGGATCGGGACGCGGTTTTCACGTCCTCCTTTTGGCGGGAGCTCATGCGCTTGATGGGCACCAAGCTCCACATGACGACGGCCTTTCACCCGCAGTCCGATGGGCAGTCCGAGTCGGCCAACCGCGTCATTGTCATGTACTTGAGGTGTTTGACAGGGGACCGACCTCGCCAGTGGGTCAGGTGGCTTCCGTGGGCGGAGTATCTCTTCAACACGGCGTTTCAGTCTTCCTTGCGCGACACCCCTTTCCGTGTGGTGTACGGGCGCGACCCGCCCTCGATCAGGTCCTATGAGCCGGGCGACACCAAGGTGCACGCGGTCGCTAAAACAATGGCGGAACGCGAAGAGTTCCTGGCCGATGTCCGCCATCGCCTGGAGCAGGCGCAGTCCGTGCAGAAGCTGCAATATGATCGCCACCACCGTCAAGTGAGCTACCAGGTGGGAGACTGGGCGCTTCTGCGTCTTCGCCAACGAGCAGCGTCCTCGCTGCCGCCAGTTACAGGGGGCAAGCTAAAGCCTCGCTTCGTCGGGCCGTACCGCGTCGTCGAGCTCATCAATGAGGTGGCTGTGCGTCTTGCTCTACCGGCAGGTGCCCGCATCCACGATGTCTTCCATGTGGGCCTCCTAAAGAAGTTCCATGGCAACCCACCCGCTGCTGTGCCACCGCTACCGCCCCTTCGTCATGGCGCCGTCGACCCAGAGCCGGAACGCGCGGTGCGCTACCGTCTCGCCCGGGGGGTTCCACAGGTGCTCATCAAGTGGAAGGACTGCTCCGCCGCATCGTCGACATGGGAGGACACCGACACGTTCCGCACCAGGTTTCCCTCCTTCCAGCTCGAGGACGAGCTGACTCTCGACGGAGAGGGAGATGTCATGGTCGGGCGCACATATGTGAGACGGCGTCGCGCCCGTGACGTGCGCCGCGCCCTGGAACGAGCAACAGCCACGCGGGAGGAGGAGGCGCAAGGCTCAGGCTCCGTTAGTGGCTAGGAAAGAAAGTAGGAGAGCTTTCTGTTATTAGTTCCTTAAATTATGGAGTTTGTTACTTCCTTTAGTTTGGGCCCTTGGCCATATAAGTTGTAATCGCACTTTGGAGAAATCAATCAAGAATCAGTTGCCTATCTTCTCTCTCCCTCTCAGCCTCTCAAGCCGCCGGTCAGGGGGTATAACCCAACCAGCGAGGACACGGCGTGGGGGTATAACCCTGCCGGCTACCACGGACCGGAACTACGAGTTGCGTAGTCGAGGTCCGGCGACCTTGAGCGCGGAGGCCCTTGACACCTCATCAAGGGAAGAAATCTTTATAAGGATGGGACTGTGAGACAGGTGCATTCTCTAGCAAGGTTCTTTTGCGTATGAAGAAAAAAAAACTTATTATTGATTGAGCTGCACTGATATTTTTCAACATTCACAGCCATGGCCTGATGAAGAAGAAAGAAATAGGGTCATCCAAGAAAAACATGAAAGAGGGTTCTTGGCACGCAAGTCAAGAGCAGCCAGGATTCATGAAAAAGAGACTGAAAGGTTGGCAAGATTAAATAGGTAAGCTCTAGTACTGTGACATAGGTATTTCTAGGGACAATGATGGTGTTGATTTTGATGTGATATTTTGCGATAATGCCCATGATGGGAATTGTAGTCGGTTGTACTACACATGCTAATATATTGTATTGGGAACAGGATGAAGGACAATAAGATAAAAAAACAGTGGAACATGAACCAAAAACAGCCACAACAAAACGTTGAGTCCACGAATACTGTTCAGCAAAGGTACGTCAACTGCTTCCTAATGCTACGATTCCTATCATGGTACTCATGAAAAATGTTATCTTACTATCACCACTTAGCATACTTACATTAAGCAGAGCTGTTGAATAGCACGCCCATATGCTTCTAATATGTTGTAGATATAGTTAGTAAAAGAAAATACTGCCTCTTAATACTATCATTCTCTCCTGTTACAATAGCGATCTTGCTTTTCTATTGCTGGGCCTGTTTACATTAAGCGGTGCTGCTTGAATAGGTTACCCCCCATCTCTCCCGGTCTTGCCCTCCCCTCCGTCGCCCGCCGCGTCCGGCCACGGCAACCCGACCTGCATCAATCGCCATGACTACCTCGAGGCGTCTTGCTGATAGGAAGATAGCACAATTTGAGAAGAATATTACAAAGAGGGGCTCTGTTCCTGAGACAATCAAGAAGGCAAATGATTATCCTGTTGGGCCTATTCTTCTTGGGTTCTTTGTCTTCGTTGTCGTTGGATCATAAGCAAGTTTATGAGCTATTTGAATTTGCGTCCGAAGCGCTCGCGCGCCGCCGCCCGGCCAAGTTGTTGTCTGCTTCGCGCTTCTCCTGCAAATGGCGCTCTCGCCCTCCCGTTCCGCTCTAGCAGCCGCCCCCTCCCCCCCGCAGTGCGCCAACAACCTCGCCTCGCCTCTCCCCCATAGCTGTTGATCCCCGGCTGCATCCGGTGCATCTCTGGGGAGGGCCGGGAGGCACCTCTCGGCTAGGTCGTCATCGATGGCTCGGCAACCTCGGGCGCTCTCATCGAACTCGAGCGGGACCCTGCGCTTACAGAGCTGGTCGAGAGTGGGACTTCTCCCTGGGTAAGCGCTTCGAAGCTGAGGTCATGCACAAGTTTTCCTCCTCGGTGCATCATCCTTCTTCCTCGCTGGATGGCTCTTTCTTCATGCTCGTGGTCTTCAGAAAGTTTATTTTTCGTCTCACTGAAGATTCAGTTGCTTTGGCTTTGCACTGCTGTCTGGGAGGCGCTCCCGCTGGTTTTCATGTCACTTACCAAAGTGATTGCCACTTCTGTTTCTCTGTCGCCTCCAAGCATGTTGGTCTGCTAATTCGATGCCTATGGTGAGCAACATGTGGCGAGACTCAAGATTCAAGATTGGCAAGTTCTTCTTTACTATCACTACTTCTAGCAGTGATTCGGTTTTCTCCACAGCCGCCTCTGGTCTTGGAAGGGATCCTGAGCACAAGCCATCCCTCAATCTCTCAGGCGTCTTCAGGTGTTCTTGGTGTTCACAATGTCAATGGTGAGCTTGATGTTCATATTGTTCAAAGTGTCCCTAATCAAGCCGCTAGCATTTATCAAAGCAACATTGAGCAGTTGCCAACCTTCAAATGGCTGAAATGATTAATGATGGGTCTTATCCCCAAGCTAGCAAGAAGCCATCCCCAGAATTAATTGAGCTACCTCCTAATCGAGGTGACCTTCTCAGCTCCACTCTCAATCGTCTTCATCGCGTCGCTTCAGATATTTGGGTCTTGATCACTTCATCAAAGGCGCATGACGAGTGCCTTTAGATGCCCTGTATTGCTATAATTATGGCCATCGAGCCAAGTATTGTGTCAAGCGGCGTCTGGACCTTCGACATAAATGGGCTCCAAAGAAAAAATCCTCGCTGCAAACAAGGAGATTGAGTGGGTGCTTAACCCCAATGCTCCTAATGACCCTTTAGTACTCAATCACGGTCCAAGGCTCCCTCACGCGTTGCATCTCTCAACTACATCCTTCACCTCCTTTCAATCCTGTTCCGAAGGTGAATTTGTGTAGGTCTGCCGTCGGTGATTGTTGACTCTCAACACTTCCATATGGGGAAGGACAAAGCGGTGAAATCATTGTTGGAGATCAGCCTGTTGAGGAACAAAACGTCATTCTGAAATTGGTCACCACAAAATTAGTTCTCGGGGCAACAACTTACAAATGGTGTGCTTCCCCATTTGTTGTGTCTACCGGGGTTGGAGAGAGGACATCACCAATTTGTTGCTTGAAGGTTTTAGGCGGATGATGAGCAATCAGATTAACACCCAAGGTTCAAGGCTCTGGGCAGCTTGACTATTCTGTCTCCATCATAGACATTGACTTAGTTGCTCTGGGCATTACCTCGCTTGATATCACTATGTCCATTCTTGGTCGAGGCCAACACTTTTGGAGTAGGACCTATCAACAATAACACCCACGATATGAGGAAAGATAGGGCTGCAGATCATAGCATCCTTCACCGAACTCCTCCAATCACAAAAGTGTACCACAAGAAGAAGCTCAAAGGAAGGACTGAGAAGGAAAAGGATCAAGTGCAATGAGAAAAGAACTCCTATTTTCTCACGAACCAACGGACGATTATTACGATAATTGATGACCGTCTTGATGTACAGAAAACACCGGCAAGAAAACTAAGAAAGGAAGGTGTAACACTCTGTTTGATCAAGAACCTCGAGAAGAAGCAATGATTGAACACTTTGCTCTTGATGGCCACAAACCCGAACAAGCATCCTCCTCAAAGGGCCCCACCACGAGAAGCAAGACTAAGGGCAAGAGAGTTGCTTCACAATCTTCTCTCATGGATAAGATTTTACTTCCTCATACATGCCACAAGCGTCGACTTTCTGGCTTATCGACATATAAAGAAATGTGCTGAAATGGGTTGTGCTTACCTTGAAATTCTGTTGTTGAAATTCGGAAGGTGGCAATCCGAAGTGCGAATCGATCCTTCGGAGGTGACGGCAGAGCTACTCAAAGTGCATCAAGAATAGAGCTTGAAACCAATGAAGAGAGGAGTAGCCAAGAGAACATGCCACTAGTTATCAATGGATAGTGCCCCAAAGACTTCTATTTCGACTGTGGGAATGTCCTGTGTTAAGCTGCTATAAAAAGTCTGTCCTGAACCTGTTTTGGATGTGTCATTGTTTAGTTGGTGCAATACTTCTGGTCGTTGGACTTGCAATCTTCTTTGTCATTATCCTGGTAGTCCACAGACTTACTCGTGTTGGATTGGTGTCAGCTCTTATGCAGATTTAGATTTGGCTTATTTTGGTTGGGTTCAATATGGTTATCCTGATAACGCCTCCCTTTTTGGTGTTGTGGCTACTCTTTGAATGGTGGTTTTCTTGCTTTAATATGGTTCTGTTATGATACTATGGTAGCCTGCCTATGGTTGGGGTACCTTCGGTCACGCCACTTCAATTTCCATGGATTATAACAACCAAGGCAGCCATCAGAGTAGAAACTAGAACATTTTGAACTGGAACATACGTGGACTGAATTCAGACGACAAATGCAATGTGATCAAAGCAAAAATAGAGGAAAATGCATGTTCAGTTTATTGTATCCAAGAAACGAAAAGAGACAATTTCGATCATAGCTTTATCAAAAAGCTAGCGCCTAAACGGTTCAACAAATTTGAATACTCTCCCTAGGAGCCTCAGGGGGCATCCTCATGGGCTGGAACAGTTCTATTTTCACAGGAGAAGTAATTCATAACAACAAGTTTGCAGTCACGGTTAGATTCAGCTCTGTCCACAATGGTGAAATTTGGCTCCTCACTACAATATATGGACCATGCCAAGGCCAAGCCAGAGATGATTTTGTAGATTGGTTGAATAATCTGCAAATCGACGAGATGGAAAATTGGATGATTGTTGGTGATTTCAACTTTTACAGAAGCCTATCTGACAGAAACAGGGATGGGGGCAACATGCAAGACATCATGGTTTTCAATGAAGTAATCAGCAATTTCGGTCTTTTGGAAATACCATTAAAGGGAAGAAATTATACTTGGAGCAACATGCAAAGTGTGCCTCTTCTAGAACAAATTGACTGGGTTTTCACCTCCTCGAACTGGATATCCAGTTATCCCAACACTTTAATGCTACCAATGGCAAGGCCAACTTCGGACCACACACCATGCAAAATTCAGATTGGTACCTCAATACCAAAATCAGAAGAGCACCCTGGCTTCTTAGAGCTGGTTCAATCAACATGGAACATCAATGTTAGAGCAACTAATAGTGCTACCAGGATTTCTGCCAAATTTAAGCTTCTGCGAGCGGCTCTAAAAAATGGAGTAAGAGCCTATCCAATCTTAATGGCACAATTAAAGACTGCAACTTCATTTTAGAAATCTTGGACACCTTGGAAGAACAAAGGCCCCTGTGCATTCAGTAACACAACTTCAGGATCATCCTAAAGCAGCACATACTCAGACTGGAAAAAGAGGTACACCATTAGATGGACTAAATTTGGGGATGAAAGCACAAGTTTCTTTCATGCTGCTGCCACAGAAAGGTACAGGTTGAACACCATCACAAGCTTAGTAGCAGAGGACGGAAGGGATGTTTTCGACCATCATGAAAAGGCTGCCATCCTTCTTGAGGACTATAAGGGCAGAATGGGCAGCACATCTAAACCCACCATTCAATACAATCTGGACCAGCTAGTGCAGGAAAACAATAAAATGGATCACATATCTACACCACTCACAACACAAGACATTGACAACGTAGTCAAGCAAATGCCTGCTGACAAATCCCCTGGACCTGATGGATTCAATGGTTTTTTCATCAAAAGTTGTTGGCATATAATAAAAGAAGACTTTTATATTCTATGCTTTGATTTTTTTAATGGTGATCTGGACCTTCAGGCCATAAATAACTCCTTCATTACATTAGTCCCCAAGGTCAACAACCCCATAGGAGTAAATGATTTCAGGCCAATTTCTTTGTTGAATTGTGTGCTAAAAATAATCACTAAATTGATGGCAGATAAGGTGCAATCAGTTATCCTCTCTGATACATACAAACACGTATGGTTTTATTAAATCTAGAACAATTCAAGATTGCTTGGCCTGGACGTATGAGTATATTTATCAGTGCCAACATTCAAGAAAAGTGATTGTTGTTCTAAAATTGGACTTCACCAAGGCATTCGATACCGTGGAGCATAACACCATTTTGGAGATGATGAAACACTTGGGATTTGATGACAAATGGAGACAATGGACACAAAGGATCCTAGGCTCGGGTTCCTCTTCTATTCTCCTTAATGGGGTACCTGGCAAACAATTCCAGTGCAAGCGTGGAGTAAGGCAAGGAGACCCTCTTTCTCCACTGCTTTTTGTCATGGCTGCCGACCTACTGCAATGTGTAGTTAATAAAGCACATAATCAAGGTTTGTTTGAACTGCCCATACCTTCTCATGAGGGAGCTGACTACCCAGTAATCCAATATGCAGATGACACAATTTTGATCATGAAGGCTTCACAGAGAGAACTATTCACTTTGAAAGGGTTACTGGAGTCTTTCTCCCAGTCCATCGGGCTAAGAGTCAATTATGGAAAGTCCTGCCTTGTCCCCCTAAACATGACGAATGAAAAGGCCCAAATGCTTGCAGGTATTTTTGGCTGTAAAATTCAGTCCCTTCCTTTTACCTATTTGGGGCTGCCAATGGGTACCACAAAGCCAAGAGTTGAGCACTATGCACCACTCATGAATAGAACAGAAAGAAGGCTCACAGCAACATCTAATTTACTTACACATGCAGGGAGGCTTCAATTAGTAAACTCTGTACTGTCATCCCTCCCCACGTATGCTATGTGCTCACTACAAGTTCCAGCTGCAGTCTTGGAATACATCGATAGGGCAAGAAGGCACTGCTTGTGGAGAGGTTCTGACACTAATGCTAAAATGAAACCTTTAGTAGCATGGAAAAAGTGCTGTAAGCCAAAGAAGAAGGGAGGTCTTGGGATTATCAACCTTAAAAGTCAAAACTCAGCCCTGCTTCTCAAACATCTTGATAAATTCTATAATCAGAAAGATGTTCCTTGGGTTAAACTTATTTGGAGCTCTTACTACTCAAATGGGCAAATACCGCATGCTTCAACTGGTAAAGGCTCCTTTTGGTGGAGAGACATACTGAAGCTTTGTGACTTATTTAGAGGTATTTCAAGCTGTACAGTTGGAAATGGCTCCACTGTTCTTTTTTGGTCTGATGTCTGGAACAACAACTTGCTCTAGGACAAAAGGGTACCACAGAAGCTAAAAGGCAAGTTTTATAGGACGGCGATTAGACCTGCTATGTTGGATGGTGCAGAATATTGGCCTACGAAAAGACGACATGTTCAACAGATAAGTGTCGCGGAAATGCGTATGTTAGCGTTGGGTTTGCGGTCATACAAGAAGGGATCGAGTTCGGAACGATGATATACGTGATAGATTAGGGGTAGCACCAATTGAAGAAAAACTTGTCCAACACCGGTTGAGAAGGTTTGGACATGTCCAACGGAGACCTCCAGAGGCACCGGTGCGTAGTGGAATCCTAAGCCAGGATAGTAATGTGAACAGAGGCAGAGGAAGACCGAAGTTGACTTGGGTAGAGGCAATAAAAGGAGACTTAAAATGATGGAATATACCCAAAGACTTAGCCTTAGATAAGAGTGCTTGGAAAACAGCTATTCACGTGCCTGAACCTTGATTGCTTCTGCTGGGTTTCAACTCTAGCCTACCCCAACTTGTTTGGGACTTAAAGGCTTTGTTGTTGTTGTTGTATATTCATATGCAAAATACAAAAAAATCTCAGTTGCAAAATTTCTTACAACACGCTGGATTCTCAATTCCACCTACCTCTATCTGAACAAGCTTATCAGGAATACTTAGGGCTCCAGGAACTCATACAAAACATTCAAGTACAGGAAGATTCAAAGGACTCTTGGCATTACATGTGGGGAAATAGCACATACTCTTCTTCTAAGTTTTACAATTTCCCATACAAGCATGTGTCCCCTCCTGCTCCATTCCTATGGATTTGGCAGTCCAAATGTTGCAACAAGCTTAGGGTGCTCACCTGGTTGTTGCTGATGGACAAACTCAATACCAGAAATATTCTCAAGAGGAAGAAGCACAAGCTTGAAGGAAACAACTATAATTGTGTCTTGTGCAATCACAATGTCGAAGAAACAGCTCTCCATCTCTTCTTCACATGCCCTTTTAGTCAGGCTTGTTGGCAGCACCTTGGTGTTTAGTGGAACCTTGCGATGGATTTCTTCCATATGCTGTTGCATGCGAAGGAGGGGTTCTCAAACCCTTTTTTCATGGAAGTTTTTATCATCAGTGCTTGGCAAATTTGGAAGCAAAGAAACAACTTCATTTTTAGTAGAGGCCAACCATCCTTCCTTGCTTGGAAAACAGGTTTCATTGATGAAGCTCGCCTACAAGCTCACAGGATCTCTGCAAACAAGCGCTCTCCCTTCCTTTCTTGGATAGATTTGTGTACATAGTTTGGTCCAGCCTGCCTCAGGCTACCTGTTTCCTTCTTTGCTGCTGTTTTTTTGTTCTGTCTCTTTTGTACAGTTGGTTCTTTTTGGTTTAATAAATTACTAACAGTGGGGGCTTCCCCTCCTGAACCTTGATTGCTTCTGCTGGGTTTCAACTCTAGCCTACCCCAACTTGTTTGTGACTTAAAGGCTTTGTTGTTGTTGTTGTTGTTGTGGGGGCTTCCCCTGCTGTTGTTCTTTCAAAAAAAAAAGTGGCATCTTACTGTATCATTTATAGAGTTCTTGGGAATTTCCATCTATAATTGTGCTTATATAGCTTTTCTTTCATCTATTAGGGTTAGTGGGAGGAAAGGCCCTTCCTTCCAAAATGGTGAACCTGGGAATACAAGGCAGAGCTCATGGAGTATCAGGTCTCTTCCATTCAACCTGGAGAAATGCAGCAAAAACTACTTTTAAATCCCACTCATACTCAGCAATTGTTCAAGAACTCAAGTCATCACCAAAGTTTTCAACAACAAGATGATGCCCTGACACAGGAGGGTGCAATTAGAACTTCCAGGAAAGCATTCATAGATCATCATGTCCCTTCCCAACACAATAAAGGATCAGGGAACACAAGCCATCACCAAATATCTTCAAAGCCCACTCCAATTTTCAAGCCAAAACAGGTCCCCAAACATCAAGGCCACAATGAAGAGGATGGTTTGAGAAAAACTTGCAGAGAACAATTGTTTGATCATCAGAGTAACACCTGCCATGCCACAGAATATGATAACTCTCCATTCCAACCTCAAGGTATGTTTGCTCAGCATGCAAGTGTACACCAGCATGGCTCCAATTATCATCAGAATGCCCATGGTGGTCATCAGGCACATCAACCCTACAGACCAAAAAATCAGGATCTGAATAGTACTTACCGTGACACAGAATATATTGACCCCTCTTTCCAGCCCAGAGGAAAGTTTAATCAGCATGCAAATGCATACCAGCGTCACTCCAATTCTCATAAAAATGCCCAAGCTCATCACCTAGTGCATGAACCCTTCAGACCAAGAAATCAGGATTTCAATTCAAGCGACCAATTTTTTGGCAAGGATTACCACCAAGGTTACCATGATTACAGTGGAATGACTCATGGCCAGTATCATCCTCAACAGAGTCGGCATCAAAATTATTATGGCCACAGGCCCATGACTTAAGGCCAAGGGACCCAACAGAACCATGCCCATGACTCAAGGCCAAGGGACCCAACAGAACCATCATCAGAACTACAATGGTCGCAGGAAAATGACCCAAAACCAGTATAATTCTAGACAGAACCAACCTAATCAGCAGTTTGCAGAACAGCGACTGCAACCACGGCCTTGCCACTACTATTATCAACAAGGATGGTGTCGCTATGGGGAAGGCTGCTGGTATTCCCATGACATCTGAGTGTTAAATCATAAGGCAACACGCTGGTGCAGCCCTGCTGTGGCCTCAGCTAACTTGAAACTTTGAAGTGGCAGGTGTAATTCCAACTTTTGTGCGACTAATGTGGAAAGTTCACCTTAGCTTTCATGTGAGACTTCAGCCATATGGATCTGTTTCTTTCTTTTCATGTGTCACGCTCTTGTATTAGCAGTTCAGCAATATTTTGGACAGTTATGATATCTTACATATCGCACTCATGAGTATCAAATTCATTTGTTGATACTTGATTTATACAAATGAATTGGTTCATGCTCTTGCACTGAAATAACGATTTGAATCCTTGACCAACAGGAATACTGCTTGAACTGCGTTTGCTAGCAAGTACCATGTTTGGGGGCAACTACAATCATGAGTGAATATGTAAGAACAGTCAAGCTCATTTGTTTGATGAAGCACCAAACATTAACGGCTACATGGACAAAGGAATCAAAATGTGGGTAAGTGTCGGGTATCGATATTAAGGATACCCAAAGCAAGGAAGTTAGCGCCTAGGCTGACTTCCCTGGATGGCTCGAAACGTATTAAAAGGTCTCGCCCGACCCTAAGGCTGTGGACTCTGTCTCGCTGGACCTCGAGGCCGCGGGCTCCGTCTTGTCCGACCCCAAGGACGCGGTTTCTGTCTCGCCCAAGGCTGCGGGCTCCGTCTCGCCCGACCTCGAGGCCGCGGACTCCGTCTTGCTCGACCTCGAGGCCGCGGGCTCCGTCTCGCTCGACCCCTTGGGTGCTGGCTCCATCTCGCCCGACCCCCAAGGATGCGGTTTCTGTCTCGCCCAAGGTCGCAGGCTCTGTCTCTCCCGACCTCGAGGACGCGGGTTCCGTCTCGTTCGACGGGTACCCATACCGCTGCCAACCACTCTAGGTCCAAGTGTATGGGCCTGGGTCAAAACTCTGATGCCAGGGAAGAGGCTTGCACGCCTCGATGTAACCCGTGGCCGTGACGGGCCATACCTGGGGATTCACATCAAGAACAGTGTTAGGCGTGCCGGTGCTGCTCTGCCTAATCCTCGTACGGACGCTGACAGGCGCGTCAATTCACCACGACGTCCGTCGGGACAGAGTGGAATGCCATGACTGGCAGATGACGCCTGCACATGGCGCTAGTGACGAACAGGGCCGCGACATGGAGCCGTCCCTGTTGACATCTATAGGATCGGTGGGACCCGCGTGAAGGAGAAGAAGGACCCAGCAACCCTGGAAGCCTTCTTCTCTCTCTCATTCTTCTCCTTTTCCTCCTCTGTAACCCGCGCTTTCCCTTCGCCTATAAAAGAGGAAGTAGGGCGCTCCATGAAAAGGGGGGAGGGGACACGGGGATCTAGACACAAGAGCAAGACACGAGCATACGGCTGAGCGGCAAGCGAGCTCTCAGCACCCGTTCACTCCTTCCACCAGAGACTTAGGATCCTCTCCCTCTCTCGCCTGCTTGTAACCCCTACTGCAAACCAAGTGCCATAACCCGAGCGACAGCGAATTGGATGTAGGGACGTTCCACTTGAACCAGTATAAACCCTTGTGTCCTCCGAGCACACCATCCGAGCCAGACGCGCAAATACAAATTTACTCGTTGGTGGTCCGAAAACACCGATAGTTGGTGTGCTAGGTAGGGGCTTTTTTGCGCGTCTCGACGTCCACATCAGGCCTCGGATGGCTAGTCACGGCGTTAGCTAGGTCCCGGGCGCGCACGTGCACTTCGGGCACCTGGACTTCATTGTTACGACGGAGGGAGAGTTGGTGCAGGTTCCCGCCACCGTCCAGCCTCTCTACTCCGCCGGCCTCAACGCGATCGCCGAGGCGCTTGAGGAGCTGTAGCTACATGCACCGGAGGCCCGCGCCCCTAGGAGCGACCATCTCCTCGACTTCGATTACCGGAGGCTAGAGCGCCAGCTCGGCGCCTTCCTGGGACCCTGACCGTCTCGGGAGGACCTACGCCGCCTCACCTTCTCGTTCGCCAACGTCATGACGTAGCTTGCCGAAGGAGAGCCGCTCTCCCCGGAATACCTCATTCGGAGCGCCTCGATAGCGCTCCCGTTCGGTCTGCGCAATGCCACATAGACCGTTGGCCACCTTGTGGCGCAACGCACTCCCCCATCCCCTACGAATGACGAGTTCGTGGGGATGACCGAATACATCGTAGAATCTTTCCATGACCTTCTCGCGGGAGAATCGGAGTCGCCCTCTGACTCTGACTCCAGTAGGGGGAGCCATCACCCCCTCATGAGAATGTTTCATGGTAGGTACCCCCGAGGGATACATCAAAAGCATCCACGAGGGAGGGGCTACCCCAACAGACGACCTTGACGACGAGGTCGAGGGGGATGCAGGGGCCCCACCTCGTCTGCGGGTAGAGCAGCTGAGGGCGCGGCACCAAGAGCTCGAAGAAGCACGACTCCAACTCGAGTAGGAACGCGCGGAGCTCGAGCAAGAGATTGAGTGCCACAGAGACGGTGGGCGTGCGCGCGCCGTGGCCCGTGACGTGAACCGGAGGATCATCGAGGATGACGAATCCCTCCCACACTTCACCCGGGCAAGCCAGAACATCGCTGCAGCGGCGGCCTTGCTCTGGAGGCTTCCGGATCCTACGACACCTGAGAATCATCAGGACCATCGTGAGATTTGCACGCTACTCGAGCGTGCGGCGACGTAGCAGGCCGAGAGCTCGCTGTCCCGACAACGCGAGCTCGACGCCAGCCAGCGCGCGCCCTCAGAGCGACCCGACAAGGACATGTTAGTCCACCAGGCGCAGCGAGGTGGCAGGCCGCGCGTCGCGGCTCCGGTGCATGAGCGTCTCGGCCTCCACTGTGACGCGCGCAACACCCTGGATGCCCGCAGCGATGAGAGGGAGGAGGCTAGCCATGGCTATCACCGTCGTCGTGGCGGATGCTACGACAGCGGCGAGGACCGAAGCCTGAGCCCCGACTCGCCGAGACCTCAGGCCTTTGGCCGACACATCCTCAACGCCGTCTTCCCACCATGGTATCGACCGTCGACCAACATCGTGAAATACTCCGAGGAAACAAACCCCGGACTGTGGCTCGAGGATTATCGGCTTGCTTGCCAAGCCAGTGGAGCGGATAGTGACAATTTCATTATCCGCAACCTTCCATTGTTCCTGGCCGATTCGGCGCAAACGTGGTTGGAACACCTTCTGCCCAACCGAATCCAAAGTTGGGTGGACCTAAAAGAGATCTTCGTGGGAAACTTCTAGGGCAAATACGCGCGTCCTGGGAACCCATGGGATCTCAAAAACTGCCGACAGAAGTCCGGGGGAACTCTTCGTGGGTACATCCGGCGCTTCTCCCGGTAGTCCAACGAGCTGTCCGACGTCGCTGATGCCGACGTCATAGGAGCTTTCCTGTCTGGGACCACTTGCGAGTCCCTAGTTCACAAGCAGGGACGTGAGGGCCCATGAACCACCAAGGAGCTCCTCGACATCGCCACCAGCCACGCCTTGGGTGAGGAGGTGGTCAGGGCGATTTTCGACCGCCCCAAGGGCAAGGCAAAGCAGGACGAGGACGCCGGTGAAGGCGCCTCCAACCGCCCCAACAAGAAGAACAAGCAGAGGCACTCATCAACAGCCTGCGCATCGCCATCGAGTTGGGTATCCGATAGCTTGAAGTCTAGGGCGACTCCTAGCTGGTCATCGACCAAGTCATGAAGGAATCAAGCTGCCACAACGCCAAGATGGCTACGTATTGCCTAGAAGTCCGCCAACCAGAGGACAAGTTCGACGGTCCCAAGCTCAATCACATCCCAAGGCGCCTCAACGAGGCGGTCGAGACGCTGGCGAAAACGGCGTCCGGCCGAGAGCCGGTGCTGACGGGCGTCTTCGCCAGCGATCAGTACAAGCCCTCGGTCCGCTACGAGGAGCCAGAACAAATCAGTGATGGGCCACCTGCCCTGGGCTTGGGGGCTCACTAGTTGGCGGCTCCATCCGACCCCGAAGTCATGGAGCTTGACGAGGATCTAGCGACAGAGCCCAACCCTTTGGCCGACTGGAGGACGCCTTACCTCGACTACCTCCTCTGTAAGGCGCTGCCGACAGACAAAATAGAGGCTCGGCGGCTCGCGCGTCGTGCCAAGTCCTTTGTCGTTATTGAGGGCGAACTCTACAGGTGAAGCCACACCAGGATCCTGCAGCGCTGCATCCCCATCGAACAAGGGAAACACTTGCTGAGTGATATCCACGGTGGGGGTCTGCGGGCACCATGCCGCACCTAGGACCCTGGTCGGAAACGTATTCCGACAAGGCTTCTACTGGCCGACCGCAGTAGCCGACGATAAACAGATTGTGCGCACCTGTGAAGGGTGTCAATACTACGCTCGGCAGACCCAGCTGCCGGCCCAAGCACCCCAAACGATCCCCATCACATGGCCATTCGCAGTCTGGGGGCTCGATCTGGTCGGACCTCTCAAGAGGGCACTCGGGGGCTAATAAGAGCATATCTTAAGAGCATATCTATCCGGTAGACATTCTCTATGCCCGACCCTTTCTCACGTTAAGATCTAGAAGCAAGGGTTGCGGAAACGAACGCTGAGTAAAACTGGTCGGACCGCAAGAAACTTACGCCCCAGCGGCTACGACGTTTTTGCTCACCAGGGTGATTAGAGTTTTTTGCCCGCACCCCGAGCTTTTTAGCCTTAACTATGGAAAGAGTCAGAACGCATTAAAGAGTATATCTATCCGGTAGACATTCTGTATACCCGACCCTTTCTCACGTTAAGATCTATA